GAATCATACAATATGTGGTCTTTGTGTCTGGCTTTTTTCACTTAGTATAATGGGTTCACCCATGTCAGAGTATATATCAGCACCTCATTCTGCTTTTTACTGCCAAGTGACATCCCATTGTAAAGATACACAACTGTTTTTTATCTGTTCATCAGCTGCTGGACATTCAGGTTGTTTCCACACTTTGGTATTATGAATAATGCGGCTATGAACATCCATGTACAAGTTTTACATATGTTTTCATTTCTCTTGGGTATATACAGGAGTGGAATTGCTGGGTCATTATATCATAATTTTTAAATATCTGAGAATTGAAGTAGGCTTTGGAAGAGGATTATTTGAAATTTTAAGAAATTTTCTTAAAAGGGGACATATGATACAGTAAGCAAGTAAATAATACGTAGTCTGTGAAGCAACAGTTACAAATTCTCTAATGCATGTCTTTAAATGGACCTGACAACTGGAATTTTCAAAGACCTGTTATTCAGTTATTTACTACATCATCTATCAAAGTTCCCTTGAGGGGACACTGTTGAATGAAGAATTCTTTTCCCAGGGCTAGTTCCTTCAGACTGAAAAAAGCAATAATTATCCAGACAGAAGCTGAAAACAAATATGCCAGGGCATAGCATGAACAAAGATTAGTTATGTCCTCTGACTCATAAGGTAGAAAAGCAGTGACATTGTACATTGAGAAGCTGTTATTTTTTTTTGATGCCACAGATGGTGGAAGCACAATAACTATTCTGCCATTTCACTATGAGATTTGCCTCATAATGTAGATTGTTTTCTCCTCCGTCTCATCCTCCAAAATAGGTACTTGCCTAAAAACTGATGATTATAGAATACAGATGCTCAGAAAAGGGCCCTCAGCTGCCAAGAGATAAAAATCACTCCAAGGTGGAACGCAGAGGATAATTCAGAACCTGGGCTTTTCTTCTATAAACATGCAAGAAGAGTGGAAAGAGACAGCTATACAACGGATGAGCAGTGTCTGGCCAGGTTCATGGTATGATGACGACAGACATTGTTCAAACTGAGGCAAAGGGACATGTGGTGCCAAATCCCAAAAGGACTTTCCTCCTCTCTACCTGCAGCCAGCGTGCTGATCCATGACCCCATGTGTTTACACCCCCTGTGTGGCTATTTCCTCTACTTACAGAGCCCTTTCCTCTCTCCAGCTGACAAATTCCTACTTCCGGAATATCTTTCAAATATCCCCTCCACTGTGAATGTTTCTCTCACTCCTCTCCACCCTCAGGGCTCTTGGGAACCTGGCACGTAGTGCTACCAGACCTTGTTTCCAGATATTATGACTATTAACTGTGCCTCCAGCTCCTTTTTGAGTCTGACTGCATCTTGAGGACCGTCACCCTTTGTAATCCAGAACTCTGCCTGGCCCAGTTTTTGAGGAAGTGCTCACAACACTTTGTGGTTGAATGGAATGAGGGAATCTATGTTTTAAATTGTCTTAAACTTCGCAATGGATGAGAACTACCTGAAACTTTAACAGAATAAACTCAAATTAAATGCAAATTAGGGCCCAATTCAGACTAGGCAGTATCCAAGAAACCCTTCCCTCCATAAAAGACCTGGGTTATCACCCATCTGGTGAGTAGGAGAGCAAGTCACGAAATGTTGCCTCAAGCACAGGCCACAAGAGCCATCTTTCTACTTCTAGTTCTGCAGCGAAGGTACTCGATTAAAAAAAAGATGTCCCAGAATTCTGATTTTTTCTTTCACATCTTTTCAAAGATATTCTGTATTAAAATACCTTTGATCATCTCTGTTTCTATGGAAGCTCTTTGGGAATGAGCTGATTTTGCTTGGGGGAAAATCACCATTTGTTAGATGATATCATCCTTGTGAACTTCCCCAAACTTCTAGAAGGTAATATTAACCAGAAGCTATATTACTTAATCCAGCAGGCAGCATATGCGATTTAAACAGACAGACAATAAAGCCTTACCTAGTTGAGAAATGAAAATATAGTTTGGGTTCAGAAACTAACAAAACCCTATAGACTTCAGGACAATTGGCAGAAAAAGAACTGGCCCAAGTCAGTTTATTACTGCCCATAGTAAGTCTCTTCCATTAAAATTCTAAGCAGCATAAACTAGAATTCACTCCATTGCAAAATACAGAATGCCAGAAATAGTACATGAAAGATTACTTTTCTTCACGAGTCTTTTCCAGGTGTTATACAGTATTCTTGGAAGCATTTTTGCCTTTAGTATTTTCCCCATATTCAGGAAATACATCCTTTTCACTGTTATTTTGGAAGTGTCATACAGCTTTTCTCATTTTCTGCCAATGCTATCCTCTCCTTCTTAAATGATTTCCCCTCAATTTTCCTCCCATCTGTTCTTATAAGGTTCTTCTTAACTCCCATTACTTCTTTCACAAGTCTAAATACATCAAAATAAGTTAAGTTATTTTGTGTTAATAATAGTATTTATTTAGGAACAGGAAAGGCAGGATTAGGAATAGAATTATAATAATGATGACGATAATAAATAAGGTCCACTTGGTATCACAGATTCATCTTTTAATCTTGCTATGTTTATGACCAACTGTACAGTGATATGAATGGATCATTTAGATGACTACAATCTGGATCAGCTGTGACATGGACAGGCTATTAGGGTTAAACTGATTCATCTTTTCCATTGACAGTATAACTGGCTACTTATATATGATCATTGATAGTCAATCTAAATCCTGTCATTTAGAAGGCTTAGTCCTGCCCTTACTGCATTTTGAGACTATAGTTCTGAAACAGAATTGCTAAAATATATTGATAAATAGATACATTTACTTCAGTATCAAACTTGAATAGATAGATGCTGCCGCCAACAGGTCACTTCTCACTGCAAGCTGTAAGGAAAGAATTTCTGTACTGGTTACATTAAAGATCACGCCCTCTTGGTGGCAGTCAGGTTGAGTAAGCCATTCCTTTATAGGTAAATCAGGTTAGCGTGAACAACAAGGGCAGCATTTAAAACAGTAACAGCAGACACTAAGTACCTGTGTCTCCACTTCCTTCCCCAATCCCAGACTGTTATCCACAGCAAAGGCTGCCCATCGGGCCTGGCATCATTTTCCCCCTCTTAAGCATGTATCAAAGCATCATATTTTTTCTCAATACTTCTCCAGCAGTAACTTGTTTGCTTTATCACATTGATTTAAGAAGAAATAGCCTAAAAGTATTATGCATAAAGTCTTTTTTAAGCATTGCCTCCTTCAATCCCACCATTTATTACTGAGGCAGACAGCGAGGTCCTCTCTACCCTCAAAGGGCACAGGTCTGAATTATGCTAGTTGAAACTTCCTTCTGGCCTTGCACCTTTCTCCAGGAATTGCCAGTTAATTGCATCTATGATGATGATGATGATGATGATGATGATGATGATGTTTGGCGATGACCAATGCCATGGACATATATTAGGGCAGGAGTAGGAATGGCCTTATTCCTAAGAGGAACATCCATGACTTATAAGGATCCTAGGAGTCAAATACACCCTGAGAAGAAAGCCTAGAAATAGAAAAGCATTTTTAGCTCAGTAAAGTGCCATGCAAAATTAGTTCTAGAAATGGGTCAAAAAGAAACCAAGTACATCTGCAAATGTATTACTTTTACCATTCCAGGATACTGGAGCTTTTCATTTGAACTTCTTTCTGTTTTAGTCACAGGAAAATGAAGAGGAGATAAGATTGTTAGGTAACGGATCCCTGGAATAGTCTATGGAACCCTCTCTCTTTTACACAATCCTGGTTTTCAGCAATAAACTCACATTCCAAAATTGCTTCTCTAAGAGAAATAGATTTTATACATATGAATTATGATTTATAAATAGTTTTAGATATTAAACCTAACATGGAGGCAATCCCAATTCATATGAGCTTTATGACTTTATTACAGCAAGGTCAAAATATCCTTGTTAGATATCTGTCAGTCAGCAAACATCTACAGGTGCTTACCACGTGACCAGCACTGTCAGGCACTAGGGATGGTAATGAAGTGGCCACCCAGTTCCTGCCCTCACAGAGCTTAGTAATGGTAATGAAGTTGTCAGACCCCTTCTCCCCTTATGTTACATAACATCTCAAATCAGTAATGTTTTAAATCTTTAGAGAGAAGGGAATTAAAACATACCCACCCCATCTTGCAGATAGGATAGCCGAGATTGAGAATATTAAGTGAGTTTTCCTGAGCCACAGAAAGAAGGGTGGGTCAGAACAAACTCCCAACTCTCACACTTGAGCCACTTTGTATTTTCACTGTCTTTTGCACAGTCTCTATTTTCAGCTTTGTTCTAGTCTACCAGAATGTTTCACCTTTATAGGTATGGACTTTCTTCTACAATCTGGACTACTATTTCAATAGATCAGTACTTTCTAACAGATCTTGGCTCAAGTGAGAACTTTTATGTCCACGGAAACAAAAACACCTCCATAAGGAAATAATTTTCCTCAGATAAAAATAATGGTACTTCACCCATGTTCACAGCAGCATTATTCACAACAGCCAAAAGGTGGAAGCAACCCAAATGTCCACCGACAGATGAACGTATAAACAAAATGTGGCACAGGCATACACTGGAATATTATTCAGTCTTTAAAAGGAAGGAAATTCTGCTACATGCTACAACATGGATAAGCCTTGAGGACATTATGCTAAATGAAATAAGCCAGTCACAAAAGGACAAATACGATATGATTCCACTCACATGAGGAAGCTAGAGTAGTCAAACTGATAGAGACAGGGAGTAGAATGGTGGTTGTCAAGGGCTTAGTGGAGGGGAAATGGGAAGTTATTGTTTAATGGTTACAGTTTCAGTTTTTTGCAAGATGAAAAGTTATGGAGATTGGTTGCTCAACAATATGAATGTACTTAACATTACTCAACTGTGCGCTTAAAAATGGCTAAGATAGTGACCACTGTATTATGCATATTCTACTACAGTTTTTGAAAAGCCAAAAAAAATACTGATACTTACCTCATAATGGTAAAGTTTTAATTTTTAAAAAAATTTTCCTTATGGCTTCAGTAACTGATAGGTTCAGGCTCTCTTGGCACTATGAAGGGAAATCAAAGAATTTTCTGTGATGTTTTTGTCAATCAGCAGGAAATTTTTAAAAAACGCTTTTAAGCCATTGTCCATAGGCTTTGAATTATTTTTAGAAATTAAAATTTGCTATTCTGTGTTCTAAAAATTACATTTAGGCAATGAGATAATGTCTTCCTGTGAGGCTAACACTGCAACACTTTTGTTTTCATCTTTGTCTTAAGTATCCAAAAGTAGAATAAACTCATTATCCCGATAATCTAATGTGTTTACACATTTGAAACCAGAACACATGTCATGGAGCAAGACTTCTGAACACATTAGCAATCTGCATTTGTATTCAACTTCCAGATTTTGAAGGATCTGTAGTTTTATCTACCATCACAGCTCCTTTTTTCACTAACGGTTCATAGAGCATTCAATCTGAAGCATCTAAAAAAAAACCACAGGGTCTACAACAGCGTTGCAGATAAACGCCAGGGTTGGTTACTGAGGAATGACAGATGGCATCCCTCCTATTACTTACTGACTATTGCTGGAACCTCAGCTAGAGATGAGCTTCTGCCCTTAATTCTCTCCGCTGTCATTTCTCACAATCCTCAATCACATGTCTGAGAAGCTGGGGTGTTTTTCCCCCATATAGTCTGCATAATTAATCAAATGCAATTAATTAGTAGGAGATGATCTAAACAAATATTAGGAAGCTCTGGGTAGAAATCCATTTTATGATCTTACAAACCCATTTAACCTTGTATTATATGAAGGAATTAAGAACTGACTGAAGACTTTCAAGATACTGCCTCAGTAATGACCACCTGAATAGGGCTGAAGAATCATTTTTGATTTTCCAAAATCATGTTCTTTCATGATACAAGTTATTGAAGGGGCAAAAGGATGGCTTTGCATATATCGAAAGACTCACTGAGTGGCAGTTGTCCCTTCTCACTACACAGCAGCATCCCTTGTGTGCATCTTAAACATTGCACAGTTCTAAAATCCTGATTTGCCCTCTCATCTGCCCTTCCTCATGCTGCTTCTCCCCCTAAAATTCCTCCAGAGAAAGAACTTGGACTTATTAGGCTTTGTAACCTACTTCCCTTCGACCACTCCATGCCCAGCACAAGAGCCTAGCACATAGTAGACACTCACTAAATGACAGTTGAATGAATGAAAGAAACTAAGCTTAACTTTGATATGACAACATATATTGATTAGCATATATGGGACAAATATTATCTCAAGAGGACAAAATAAGTGAGTCAAACATTTTCCACTCATAGAACTTTTCCTATTTAAATAGCGTCCAATTTATACTTCCAATAAAATGCCTCTAGTATTGAAGTTGGTAATTATGCCACCTGAGACTAAAAGATGTGCAGTGGAATTGCCACTTTTTCAAAGGAGAAGGCCCTCAGGGAAATATCTATCTTAATCTTTGGAGGTGGGGAGTGGGGGAATTTGGGAGTCCCAGAAAACCAATATAACTGAAATTAACTTCAATTTGTCCAACTTATTTCAAAACTATTTGAAAAAGGGCACTGCAGATTTCTCCATAAACCAGCTGAGCAATTTCTCATTTGTAACAATATAGGATAAAACGCAGAATTTATTTTTTAAAAGCAGAATAGCAAAATACAGGCTCAAATTGCAGCTGACCTTGATGAGTTAAGAGAACGCTGGAAATCAGTTGCTGAAATTTGGTTATTTCTATATATCCTCTCCCCCTCTAAGTTACATCATATTGAAATAACGCAGTTTTGGAGAAAAATCCAATTGCCATGGAAATATTTATCTTTAACCTAGTCTGCACCCACTTAATGCTTCCCCAGCAGTGCAGTAGAGTAAAAATCAAAGTCTATGGCTAATATAAAAGCTTCCTAAAAAATATAATATTACTAATTGAAAATATTTCTATGTTTAGGTTAAAACAATGAAATAGACGCCAAGAAAGGAAAAGACAAGGTACTCTTTCCAGAACTTAATTTCTGGAATCTAGCTGTTTTTACACAGCAGCTTTAATTAACATGAACATTTTAAAAAATTGTAGAATAAGTAAATTATATTTTCATAAATAAAACCACAGAATCCTTACCCCACACACGCACAAAGTTCCCAGAACTAGAGCAAAACATGGATATATCCTCATGGTAAAAATTTTTTAACACGAGAGCATTTTGCTATTTCCTTACCTCGAGCGCAGAAGATTGCAGTGGGGCCAGTCGATTTATTTGCTTGCAGCCCGGTTATCACAAAACGGAAGGGACGTCTCGCTTGCTCATTTTTTGTTTTTTTCTAAACCCAGCAGCGTGCATTCAGCCGACCTCATTCGTTGGATTAATAACCTGGAAAAAAAAAAAAAAAACGCCCGCAAAGTGAGCGCCTGAAGCAGGGGACAGTCCCCGGGTGGCCGCCCCTCCTTTTCGGTGACGCTCCACTTCCTGTTAGACTAGAAGGCAGTTCCCAAGAAGCTCGGTTTTGTAGTTTCTAGCCCACCTCCAAAAGCGAGTCCTCATTTTCCCCATTTCTTCTCCAGAGTAATAACTTTTAACCGTTCAGGTGATGGACTACCTGACCTTACCCAAATAGTTTCCTGGAAAGGCGCCCGAAGAAGAGTTCCAGCCACCGTGGATGCCCGGGACAGGCCCGCCGGGCTCGGTCCCTGCTCTCCGCACGCCCTCGCGTCCCACCCCCGCGCCGGCCTCCCCTGCGCTTCCCTGAAACAGGCAGTGAGGTTCCAACAAGAGTTACAGCTGCGGCTGAGGCCCCCGCAATGACCTGGAAGTGAAGGGGACGTGCACGAGTTTGGGGGTATCAGCGGACTGAGATCGACAGGGAAGCAATGCCTTAAAGAAACGTCAATTCCAACACGGTCTCGTGGGAGCTCCCTTTAAAGGGCTTCTTTTCAATACATTTAACATTCTTTCGGAAGACATTTATTGGTTGCCTCCTGCGTGGCCGTACGGAAGGGCCAGGCGCCGGTTTCGGGGTCAGGGTGGGGTGGATTACTAGGATTTGAACGCCCGTAGAGTTCACCCAGCAAAACCATCACTTGAGCTTCCTGCAAACTGGCGGCAGGACAACCCGCCGCCGCAGGGATTCTTAAGCACTGCTACCTATAGCACTGGAATTTCACGCTAGTAGAGGAAATGGCGAAAGGACAGGCGCTGGGCGCTGGCGCATCCGGGAACAACAGTGGTATGCGGTCGGGGTGGGCCCGACCGGGCTCTCAACCTCTCAACCAGCCCAGTCTGCAGGTCGCCACCTCAGGATTTTCTTCGAGTCCAGGCGGCGGGACACCATCCCAAGTAGGTCCCTTAGACCGCCCAGTAGTTGCCACCTCCTCCCGCCCCCACAACTTCTGCCCCGCCCCCGCCGTAAGCCCCGCCCCTTAAGAGCAAGCCCCGCTCTCGGCCCCGCCTCCTTCTTTTCCCGTCCCAGGACGCGTTGCGCGGTCCGGGCCGGAAGTCGGCGAGTTCCCGGGCGTGTGTCGGAGTCTGTGTCTGGAAGAGGCGCGCGGCCCGGGACAAGCGCTAGGAATTCCCATCTGAGGCGTCGCCACTGTCACTACCCTCACCCACGGAGCCACTTATAGAGCGGAGTAGACCCGGCCCTTCGCCGGGCAGAGAAGATGTTGCCCCTGTCCATCAAGGACGATGAATACAAACCACCCAGATTCAATCTGTTCCGCAAGATCTCGGGCTGGTTTAGGTGCGTGGTGCTGTGTTTGCGGGAAGGGGGTGTCCAGCAGAAGGGGAGAAGGCCTAGCCCTAAGGATGGCCCGAGGTCCAGGGAGGGAGCGTCAGGGGCACTCTCCTTCGCTGTGAGGAAAGGAGCGTGTGGACTGGGAGGTTCGTGAAAGGGGGACCCAGTCTCCGCGTCCTGGCACCCTTTTGACTCTCGTGGCTCTTCCCCACTTGTGTGCCCAGGTCTATCCTGTCGGACAAGACGTCCCGGAACCTGTTTTTCTTCCTGTGCCTGAACCTCTCTTTCGCTTTTGTTGAACTACTCTACGGCATCTGGAGCAACTGGTAACCAAAGGGGAAAAGGGTTGGGGCGGAAGCAGGGGGTGGGGGAGACGAAGAACTGTTTGCTTAGTGCCACGTAGCGCCTCACCGGGAGCTTCAGGTCTTGCCTTTGCCACCACCTCTGCTGCCGAGTTGCTTTCTCATATCCACACCAATCTGGCTTGGATGGATACATTTCTTAAGATCCGGGGCACATCACGTGCAGCAGTTCAGATTTGGATCCCTGCCTCCTCCCTCCCGCCCCCTGCTCCGTCAAACGAAGAGTAACAAGTCCCCTCCTCAGTCTGGCAGATGGAGAAAGTCTTTCGTTTGTAACTTTAGCTTTACCACTTTGTTGGAATTGGGAGAAATCTGTTCCCTGCCTCTCTGTGGGGGAGTGGCATTTGGATTTCACCCTTAAGATTCCAAGAGGGAATATCTGAGATGTTCTGCTTAGTTTGTTATTAGGTCTTGGAATGGGGAAGAGGTTTATAAAGGGGATATCCGGAGAAATATTTGTCATTCTCTTCTCTCTTTAATTTTATGCAGAAACTGTCTTATGATTGTCCTCTGGTTTTGACTGCAGTAGAAAATCCCATATTGTTTTCTAAAAGCTTAGATTTCTTGAGTTGATGGTTTTTCGTGTCACCTTTGGGGTTTTTGTTTTAAACTACTTTGGGAAGAGATTGAATCTAGTGTAACTTTGTGGAGATGAAGTACTATTGTTTAGGTATTTGCTGTTGAATAACTTAAGGTCTTGTAAAATTGTTCAACTAACAGTAAGATCATCACCTGTCTAGGTGTACTGATTTGTCTTCAAATCTCATATTCATTTGAGAATCTGATAAAAGCCAACACTCAAAATTCTGTAGAAAAACTGCGGGGTTTTCTTGGGTTCCTTGAAATAGATCTTGGACCCCAGGGTTAAGAACCTATGCCCTTTATGCTTTATTTTCTATTAATTAAGTAGTCTTAGTCTCTTTCCTTTAAGGTCCATTTTCAGGGAGAATTGCTGTCTTTGATCTTTATCTCTGTTGAGATTGAACAATGACGTTAGATGATATCACCAGTTTTTGTGACATGTATATTTTTATATGAGAAAGTGGACTTCTTTTCAATTCAAATGTCAGTTCAACTTTATCAAAAATACTTGGCAGATTATGAAGTTTGTTGGTTTAGTCACCACTTGGGTGTAAAAGGCATATTGAATAAAAATCTCAATATGTGTAGTAACCATTTTGAATCTTTCGGGAATCAGATATATTTATCCTGTAATATGAACACCCTTCAGTGTATTGTGCATGTTAAAAGCACTTTATTGTCTTAATTTGTATTGAAATAATCATATTTTATTATAAATATGCAATATTTATATTTTTCTTTTCCAAAATTATGCCATATGTGGCATATGTGCTGACTGTGTCAAGACTATATCTTCGTTTGCATATATACAGTTTTGCTACAGTCCCTTTATATTACATTGTATTTCCCTCTGGCCTTCCATTGCATAAATTACTATGTGAAATATCTTGTTCAAGGAATTCATATTTGAAGTGCCTAAACCCCCTCTTTAATGGAAAGTTAGATATATAGTAATTCTTTTGATTTGTAGAGATCTGTTGGGGAAATTTCTAAAACCACTGTTTTCCAAGCCATTTGTCAATATTCATCGGTACGCAAGGAAAACATCAGTGGTACATGACTTGTTCTTCTGCTGTTAGGTAGCTTGTTCTTCTGACCTTAGGCTCTCTTCTCCTCCTATTTACTTTCTTTGATTGTGGTGTTAGATCTTCCAGTTTGAAATGTGAATTAGTGTCTGTTATGCCTAGATCCTTTAGCAGGTATTCATCATTATGTTAACCTCCATGTCCACAACCACTTATTCCCCAATATTAATTTTTATCAGTGGATTGCTTGGGCCTTGTCGTAATCTGTTTTTTTTGTGTCTTGTTTAAACAGCACGATTTTTAGTCCCCCTTGTTGACTGATCAACATTTTCTTTGTATGACTAGATTATCTCTGTTTTTGAAGGTTCAATTAGATTTTAAGTTCCTTGAGTAAATTTCTCACTAAAACTTGTTTATATGAGTCATTTCTGTGTTCATTTTCATTTTGTAAAAGTTAAGTTTTAAGAGGTTATGAACATGAAATGTCAAGAATTTTTTTCCATTATGGGAATAAAAGATGAATAAACATACTCTCTCTTGACAGACATTCATAGAAACAATTGATCTAGTTGCAACACATGTTAACTAGTTTTATTTCTTGTCCAGAGGCTTCATTTTAAAGGGAGACCTTACAGTTGATTTATATTTTTGATGGTGAGAATGTGTCATCAGTGGAAGAAACCGAAGCTCTTTGTGTATTTTTACCCCATTAAATATCCACTGCCTTTTACCTTTCCACCAGAACGTAAACTTTATTAAAGTCTGGATCTTTTCTGTCTTATTCAGGCACTTGAGTACATGGCGCTTAGTGTGCTTAATACATATTTACTGAGTGGAAGAATGAAGTGAATGTGTGGAATTAATCTACCTACACTAAACATGCTGATTACCCCTGTTGGGGGGAAAAACATTAAACTCTTCCTTTCTCTTATTATTAGAAGTTAGTAGGAAAGTAGGAATACCATATATGATCTTTCCTTTGAGGGTTCTTTTCCTTCTAGCATTTTATTTTCATTTATTTATTGTTGAGTAATTATTTCATCCTGTGGTAATATAAGAATGTGATTTTGTACCATCTAGGATTAGGTTCTTTTTCAAGTTACAGAAAAAACCCAAAATAATGATGGCTTAAACAAGATAACACTTTATTTCCAAGATGGCTGTTAGAGTTCCAGCCATATCTAGCAGCAGAATGTCCAGAATGGAGAGAAAAAAAGATAAAAAGTGTACAGTGTCTTTGAAGGAGATTTATCTGGACACTAGCACACAACACTGTCACATATTCAGTGGCTAAACCTTTATCGCAGGGTCATGCCTAATGGCAGCTGTCTTTGTTCCAGTCAACCGGGTATTCTGCTGAAAGTCAAGGATTCTTTCCTGAGGAAGAAAGTGAATATGTGGATACTGTTGCCTCAGGAAGTGGCACTAGAGAGAGAGAGGAGCTAGTCCAACTTCATAGATGGAAGACTGAGGCCCAGGGAGTTTTTAACTTCTGAGAATAGCATCAGAGCCTAGAAGCACCTGTCATTCAAGGTCACTCCCCCCCCCGCCCCCGTGACTTTTTTCTAGTATCTTAATATAATTTCCTTTGTTTTTATGCTCTTCTGTTTTATGTTTGCATCACTGTCTGGTAAAAAAATTAATTTCAGTAATAGTTTTTTACCAAAGCTGTTGCAACCATTTTTCCTTTAGACATAGAGGAAACGCATCTAACTCTGAAGGTAGATGTCTTTGTGTTAGCAAAGTAAATATTTGTTCAAGAAATGTTTTAGGCCATCCCGGACATTGGTTTGGTTGTACTTCTCTATAATGTGTCATAGTGTATGTTTGTAAAGTAATTCCTTGGTAAAGAAAAATGCTTCCATTAGTCACATATTTTCTGTAGAATTAAAACTTTTATATATCTTAGTCTTTCATCAGCTTGTCCCTTCTCGAAAGACATTGCTTACCAGCTATGGTGATCACTTTGGCATTCCTCTGGTTTTATTTTTCACATTAAAAACGTAGATAAATATTCTGTTTTGCTGAGAATTTTTTTAAGTAAGGGATTATATAATGGAATGTGGTAGAGTGGTGGGTTTTTCACTGTAACTCTCATTAGTTTATTTATACAAATGTCAGGATTCTAAGAATTTTCTAATTTCTTGCTAAGAAACTGATAGTTAATAGTTTCTTTTCCCCTTTCCATCTCATGGAAACCTATCTTGATGATCCCCTATTTTTGAATTAATGTTTAACAACCATTATAAGTATACTGTTAGCTTGGTTACCAATAGGCCTTTTAAAATTTTTATTATGGAAAGTTTTAAACATATGTAAAAGTAGAGATTTTAATGGACCTTGTGTCGCCATCACTCAGCTTTAACATTTATCAACAGGTGGCTTATTTCTTTTCACCTCTTATACCTCTCCCACCATTGGATTGTTTTAACACAGATAACAGATATTATATAATTTCTTTCATAATTACTTCAGTATGAGTCTCCAAAAGATGAGCCCCCCTTTTAATATAACCCGATGCCATTCTCACCTATAAAAATTAATAATTTATTAACATCAAATGTCCTGTTAGTGAGTATTCAGATGTCCCTTATTGTCTCATAAATTCTTTTTAAAGTTGGTTTTACAAATCACAATCCAAACAAGATCTAATCCAAACAAGATCTATAGCATTTGGTTGATAGGTCTCTTAAGTCTGAATTTATAGGTACTCTTTCTCTCTTTCTTTGTTTTTGCCTCCAGTAGACTTTAAATAAAATCCTTTTCAAAAGTTTTTTTTTGCCAAATGTTCTGTTCACATTTATTATATTATGCTTCACTGATCAGGTTTCTCTTTTATATCTTAAGAAGTTTTCCATGTTAAAATATCTTTAGAAAGTAGTCACTTAAAAAGAAAGTTTAGGGGCCAACCCGGTGGCACAGTGGTTAAGTGTGCATGTTTCGCTTTGGCGGCCCGGGGTTTGCTGGTTTGGATCCTGGGTGCGGACATGGCACCGCTTGGCAAGCCATGCTGTGGTGGGCATCTCACATATAAAGTGGAGGAAGATGGGCACGGATGTTAGCTCAGGGCCAGTTTTCCTCAGCAAAAAGAGGAGGATTGGCAGCAGTTAGCTCAGGGCTAGTCTTACTCAAAAAAAAAAAAAAAAGTTTAAAAATACGTTTTAGAGAAACAGGCAGTACTTAAAGATAGGAGCCCGAAACAAGTATGCTGCTTTTAGCAACTAATTTTTCTTTATCAAGTTACATTTGGTGTGTAAATCATATAACCTTAAATATTCTTTATGCTACTTCTATTTTAAAAGGAAATTTATACCATATAGTTTTAAAAATAATTCATAGTCAGAAACATTTCCTGAT